GGGGTGGCTGGGAGGGGAAGAAGAGTTGAGATAGTCTGACTTCCACACCATCTACTAGGTAAGTCACAGTTACATCATCTGGATAAAGTGAGAAGAGTGTCATCTCTTACCTCCTTACTTCATTTTGTGCATAAACTAATTTAGTTTATGTATGCAAGTGATCTGTACTGTTGTTGTTGGGAGTTCCACTTTGCTTAAGAAAAGGGCTGTCTGTGCATGTGGGTCAAATTGCTGTAAAACCCCTATCCACAATGGAACTTAGTCAGGAATTAAGTTGATATAGTTGTTCTTAAGAAATTGTTCCTAAATATCATCAGTTTTAGACCTTTCCAAAAGGTAAGGTTAATAAAAATGGATTTCCTAATTAAGAATAATAGAAGAACTATAGCAAGTGTTACAGGGTAGAAGGAGGTATAGAAGTCTTCTAGGAAGAGATGTTAACAGCAGCTGGGCAATAGTCATGCTAAATGAAAGCTATATTGTACTGCAACACCAGCTCTGTGTTCTGGAAGATAGATAGATGGATAGAAAGGATAGGATAGCACTATGATCCAAATATTGACAATGAAGATAACTTCCACAAGCTGTTGAAGTATTAGTACTCTGACTTGATAAGTGAGAGCTGGCATAACCTGAGGCCATTACTTGGACTAGCAGAACTGAAAAAAAAAAAAAAAAAAAAAAAACCACACCAAGAAAATTGGCATCTGGGGCATTTCTCTAAGACTTACTTTATTTTGGTTCTTATATGATCCTTATAAACAATAAAAACTGAGTGCTTGGCAGAAGAGCAGTAAGTGATGAGTAGCATCTGCCACGTGGGGTGAAGTGAATTCTTGCTTCCAATCTCAAAAAACAAGTTATGAGGAAAGCCGTTTCTCTAACCATGCATGGCTTATAAGAGGAAAAATGAGGTAAGAGAAGTCTGCAGTGTATATGACTTGGAATAGGAGATGGTGAGACTTGTGGCAATGCTTTGTTTCTGTAAAACACTTTTAAAGTTAAAAGAACAATCCAAGAAGTTATGCAATGACTGTGTAAATGATAGTAAGTGATGGTCTGCAACTATACCCGGTTTGGTGTCATCAGCAAGTTTGCTAAGCATCCACTTGATCCCACTGTCCAAATCATTAAAGATGCCAAACAACATCAGACCCAGGGTAGACCCTTGGAGATCCTCACTTGATACCTACCTCCTCCCAATTAGATACTGAGCCACAGATGAGCATCCATGGAGTACAATAATCCAGCCAGTTGATATCCACTTGATAGTACTTCCATCTAATCCAGATCTTATTAATGAGAATGTCATGAGAGGTAGTGTTAAGAGCTTTGCTGAAATCAAGGTATACCATATCCACTGCTTCTCCACCCCCTCTCCATCCAGAGAGCCTGGTACCTAATCATAGAAGGGAATCAGGTTGGTCAGGCATGACATACTCTTGATGAATCCAGGCTGGCTGTTCCCAGTTACCTTATTCTCTTCTAGGTGCTTCACAATAGATTGCGCGAGGAATCTAGGACCCATCTTTTCAGGCACTTAGGTCAGATCTGCAATTCCTCAGATCTTCCTTTTCTTAAAGATAGACACTATAGCACCTCAGCAGACCTCCGTGAATTCTCAAAGGGAAAGCTAATGGCTTTGAAGTTAGCTCAGCCAATTCCTTCAGTACTCTAGTTTGTATCTCACCTAGTCCTGCTAACTTGAAAACATCTAGCTCCAAGTAATGTTCCCTATCTTGTTCTTTCATTACTTTAGGCTGTTTGTCTCCTTCCCCATCTTTTCAGCCAACTGTGCTCATTATCTGGTAGCTGACTATCTGTGAAGACTGGAGTTGAGAGACAGACACAGAGACAGACATTAAATACTTCAGCCTCCTCTACATCATCCATAACTAAATTGCCTTCTGCATTTCATAAGAGACTTTTGCTCAGCCTCTTATTTGCAATATACTTGTAGAATTCTTTTGTATTGCCTTTTATATCCTTTGCTAGTTGCATCTCAACATGTGCCTTGGCCTTCCTAATTTTTTTCCTATGTTCTCATGCCAGGTGTCACAGGATGGGGTCCTCAAGGACAGCCATGATCTCCTAAGGCCCCCTCAACCATGCCAAATTTGGCCCAGTGGGCACCTTCAGTTCTCGCCCACCACATCTTTGATAGAAAATATAAATAGGGAGGCTGCCTTTAAGTCCTCTTGGACACAGTTTGATAGACCTTCTGAACCCCGTGGGCTCCCAGACCCCTTATAGGTCCCATTTCACAATGGGCATCTTGGGGGCACCCTAGCCTTATGCGCTATGTGTGGCTCCAGGCACCCCTTTACCATACCCCAAGCCTCACAGATAGTACTGGCAGTGTCATGCCTTGGCCTTGTTATAATTCAGCCCCTTGTTCCTGCTCCACAGACACTGTGCCATCTCTGGCACTGGGGTCCCCACACTGCTGTGGGCCCCCAGTGAGGCCTCCTCCTTTCCCAAATAACCTTACCCAAACCACCAGGCTTATAAAACAGCAAACAAAACATAAGTCCCTGTGCTATAACATAGCACAAGCTACATAAAGTGTGCTCAGCCCCTCTACATTACCCAGAGCAGACCTCAGTCAGGCCTCCACTTACTCCAGAAGGACTCCTTGTTCACCAGCAGAGAACTGCCTCATTGTCCCCATCCTGGGGTTTATATGGGCCCAGGCCCCTGCCCCTTCCGGCCTGCTGACCAGGTGCAGGTGCAGACTAGTTTCCTCATTAGCTGGTTCCCACGGCAACCTGCACCTGGGCTCCTGTCTGGCTCTTTGGTCTCTTCCCAGGCAGTTTCTGCTCTTTTAGGAGCAGGCACCTAAGTGCTCTGCGACACCAGGTTTTCAAGTTTTTTAGGATTCCTTTTTGAGTTTCTAGTCATTGATGTCTAGACAGGCTGATCTCCTGTTCCACTTCCCATTCTTCCATTACATCAGGATAGCTTGTTTCTGCACCCTTAATATGACCTCCTTAAAGGATAGCCAGTTCTTCTGGACTCCTTTTGCCCTCAGACTTGGCTCCTAAGGGATTGTGTCCACCAGTCTCCTAAGTTCTCCTTTCTGAAATCCAGTGTGTCTATTTCCTGCTCTCCTTTCATCCTTCCCTTAGGATCCTTAACTCTATCACTGTCACCCAGCTGACTTTTCACCTACCTCCTTGGGTGCATTCTAAGTGCTCTGGTACCCCTGTTACCTATCCCCAGCTCCCCTACTGCTGATACATAGTAGGCTACTACTGATATGTAGTACATATTTCTGGAATACTCAATATACAGTAATTCAAAGGTAAAGGATAGTAATGCTACATGGCCCTTGGAATCCTCTTACCTGATTGTACTTGGTCAGTTTAATTATTCTATATATTGGGTAGGTTTAGGATAAGCTTAGAGTATTAGTGGTATGTATCATTTTTACCCATGAATCTATTACAGGGTCTGTTTCTCTCTTGGGGATTGCGGATAAGTTAATTTCAGGGTAATTTAGACAATGCAGCTTACTTACATCATGGACACATTTTTCTTTCATATTGTGTCAGTATAACGTATACATAAAAATCCTATTAGAGAAAGAACCCTGTCCTTATGATGAGGCTAACATGCCATTTTGATAAGTGTAATGGCTGTTGTATATGTTAACTTCAGAAGTGAGGTTTTGAGTTTATTTTTTTTCTTTCTTAAATTTAAGGGAAGGGACTAGAGTTGCCAGCAGACAAACTATAGAAGATTATTCTTGAAGGACTGCTTGAACTGGTTTAACAGAAATCTGCCCAGCCCAGTGGTTATGCATAGAATTTATTAACGTTAGGGGGGAGGGGGATCAAGGGGCACATCTAAGATACCTTATAAACAAAGAACGATCCTACACGGCCTTTTGTTCTGGAAGCCTGTAGTAGGAGACCCTTACCCCTACTTCTGACGAAAGGAGAGAGCTGTATTGCAGAAGGTAGTCTGGGGAAAGGCAGCTTGCAGAAAGTATTGAGCTTTAGGACCAAGCATCTAATGAGAGGATTGAGAGCCCTTGCAGCAGATTTGGGGATTAGCAGAACCTGGGCCCTGTTTTCCAGATAGCCAGATCAGGTGACTGCAGGGGGAGGAGTCAAAGGCCATATAAACCCAAGCACAGAGCTAAGAGGCTAGTTTACCCCAGATTTCTACAACTACAGGAGCTGTAAGTAGTTAATAACAAGAAATAAGGCTTGGGTGCTATGAAAGTTTGTGTGAGGGAGAGTACTGTTCTAGAAGTTGCCAGGGAAACACACCTGTAGTTTGAGGACTGTGTCCCAAAGGTGGATTTAGGGGCCTGATATACTTATCCTGGGCTCTAGTTTCAAACACTGAGCTAGGGGTAGGTGCCGTGAAAGGCAGCTGCTCTAAAACAGGTAAGAAGTAGAGGAGGCTGGCTGAAGTTGATGTCTGGGCACAGGCAGAAGAGGTTGGCTGGGGCTAGGTAGCCCAGATAAGAGCGAGACTAGGGCCAGGGCCTTCTTAAGTTAAGATGTGAGGATCAGGCAGACTGGCAGGGTTGAGTAAGATATGAAAGGCTGAACTCCAGTTCTCTGAAGGTAGCCTCCCTAAAAGATCTATTACCTTAAACATCAAGGTATGGTAGATGAGAAGGCACGGCCAAATTTGGAGCCAGAGAAGTAGGGCTGGTGTAACAGTTGCTGCTGGAGGTATGCACTCTAATACATAGCTGAAGTAGCATGCACAAGCAGCATAGGGGCCCTGGACTTCAAAATGGGCTACCACCTGGAGCTCACACTGGGACTGTCTTGAAGACAAGTGATTCATAGAATCTGTAGGAGGTAAAAGGGTATGTAGTTGTGATACCATGGTTAGTGTGGTACACACTCTGCTCCTTGTCAACAGGCCTGGTTCATGAGGAGAAGAAGCAATATATCCATGTTCTTGAATCTTGTTGGTCTCTGTAGAAACAGAAAGCAGCAGCACCACTATCCTTTGATCGTGACTGTACTTGTGTGAAGGTACTGTTCTTGCCTAGCTCTTGTGCCAGGGCATAACGGGGGAAGAGATGCTGGTTCTGCCCTTGTGCCTCTGAACTCCACAGAGGCAATCTGGCCATTGGTATAAAGTCCAGTCTGCAAATGGATGCAAAGTTTATAAGGACATTTTTTGAATCTTAGTCAGCCTTTTCAGCAGAGCCTCTTTTTTTTTTTTTTTTTAAGGCACTACATTGGCTCTGCAAGTCGCTTACATATGTTTTTGGTATACCAATCATAATATAAACAAAATAGCACCTGAGAGAGATGATGGTAGAAAATCCAACCCTTAGAGGGGAGGGGGAAAAAAGCACAAGTTTACTTTGCCATTGGTACACACTACTTTACCTTCATCTGTCCAGTAATTGAGTAAATACTGGTTGGTTTGTTTGTTTGTTTTTTCTCCTTCAGGGATTCTTGATTTGCCTACTCTGGGACTCATGTCATCTGAGACCTGAATTACAACTTAAAACATCTTTAGACAATTTTAAGATGAAGAAAAATGAATTGATATTGATTTTTAATTTGACCCAGAAAAAACTACTTACTAACTAAGTTGTTTAAAGAACAAAATACTTGGCATCCTTGGAAATTGGGGGAAAAACTCATTGGAGCACCAGTTCAGGAGAGTATTCTTATTCAGAAAGGGTTCCTATATATGTGTGGGGAGCCTGCTCTGATGTGCTGGAACTCCAGCACATCAGAGCAGACTTGATTAATCAAGTCTGCTGGAGCATCGAAACTAATGCACTCCAGCGACCTCCAGCATTACATGCATCAGTGTCCCCATGCTGAAAAATGGTGGCAAGGTGCTTTAAACTAAAGCTCATAAAGTGACTGGGATGCTGATGCATGTGATGCTCTGGGCACTTTCAACTAGTAGAGGTCTCCGAGCTGCGCTAATTAAAGCACTAGGGCTGTGCGAAACAGCACTGTTTCCTTTTGACTTCCATTTTGCTGATTTGATGGGGCAGTGTGTTGCTTTGAGTTTCACTTAATTTTGAAAGCACTGGTACATTTCATTTTGTCAAAACAGTTATATTGTTTCGATGTTTTGCCCATATGCTATAATGGGGAAGCATGAACCTGCCTATAACTTTGTCATTTTGTGCCTGATTCGGATGGAACTTGCCACAAAGCCTGCCAAGTTTCAAGGAGATAGGTGCAGGGGTTTCTGGGAAACTGCACCTCAAACTGTTAAAAGCAAAACTTGTGTCACTTGTAAGTGTGAAGGCACAGAGAAAGCTCCGTTCAAACAATGCTGCCTTTTATGTTGTTTTTCCACCCCTCCCCTGGAGCACTGGGATGGGAAGGGACCTCGGGGAAAGATGACAGTCACTGGCCAGCTACACATGTCAATATCAGAGCAGTCCTTCGTCCCCCCTCCCTCACCTAAGTTTCTCCTTAGCTGCAAGCAAGCCCAGCTATGAAATGATTGAAGCCTTTTGTTTCATTTTGATTTCACTGTTTTGAGCTCAAAATGAGTCTAAACAGCATTGAAACGAAACAGCCGATTTAAATTTACACAGCCCTATAAAGCACCCCCAACCCCGATTGCATGTATAAACACCTAAGGTGTGCTTAAATGCATGCTTTGCTTGAATCTTTGTGTTTCATAGATGTTAGGGGCTGGAAGGTACCTTGTAGATCATCAGGTCCAGTCCCCCTGCACTAGGCAGGAAAAGACAACTGGGATCAAGTGACCCTAGCGAGGTGACTGTCCAGTAGGGCTGTGTGAACCTTCAGTAGCTGAATCTCTGAATCCAAATCTAATCGGGAGACCCTTTAATAAACTACTCATGAGGAGACCCTCAAACTACTACAACACCGTTTCAGGCTGGACATAAGGAAGAATTTCTTTACTGTCCGAGCCCCCAAGGTCTGAAACAGCCTGCCACCAGAGGTGGTTCAAGTGCCTACATTGAACACCTTCAAGAGCAAACTGGATGCTTATCTTGCTGGGATCCTTTGAACCCAGCTGACTTCCTGCCCTTTGGGCAGGGAGCTGGACTCGATGATCTTCCGAGGTCCCTTCCAGCCCTAATGTCTATGAAATCTTAATCAATTTGGAGAGATTCAATGATTCGGACATAGACATGGCTTTAAATGTTTTGTTTTTTTGTTTTGTTTTTTTTCTCTATATACCTCAAGGTACCAGGTGGCTTGTGAACACTGAGATGGTGGGGTGTGCCTCCTGGGTCTGGGGGGGCACCTGGGGTCCCCCCCACAGCCAATTGCTGAGTCAGGGGGAGTGTTGGGGGGTCCCCTGTACACTCTGCAGTGGACCCAGAAGTACTTCTGGTCCACCTCTAGGTCTGCCACCAAGCATGCAGGTGCCCCCCCCGTGTTCTTGTGGGATGCTCCATCCATCACAGCATTCACAAGCTGTGCCTGGTACCTCGAGGTGTATATAGAAGAAACATTTAAAGCCAAGTCTGTGGCTGAATTATTGATTCTCCAAATCGGAATTGAAACTGTCCCGATTCAATTTGGCCAAATTGATTCCGATATCTTCAGATTCAAATTAATCAAATCGCTGTCCCCTGATTCAGGCCAAATCTGGCTAGAATATGGCCCATTTCACACATGCCTACTGTCCACTCTCCTTTTGAAGATTTCCAGGGTAGGTGACTGCACCACCACTGGAGGGAATTTATTCTATAGGCTGGACACCCTGACTATGAAGGAGTTTTTTCTTGGAATTGAGCCTGAAGCGGCCTTCCAGGAGTTTGTATTCATTGCGCCTGGCCTTTCCCAGGGGTTCCCTGGTGAACAGGTGTTCACAGAGTTCTTGCTGTACTCCCCTGATGTAGCGGTAAGCTGCTACCAAGTCCCCTCTCAGCCTTCTCTTCTGTAGGCTGAAGTGGTCCAAGTCCCTCAGCCTCCCCTCATATGGCTTGTCTTGCAAGTCCCTGATCATACAGGTGGCTCTTCTCTGGACCCTCTCAAGTTTTTCTACATCCTTGTTGAATTGGGTCACCCAGAACTGGATGCAGTACTCCAGCTGTGGTCTCATCAGTGTGGAGTACAGTGGGAGTATCACTTCTTTTGTTTTGCATGAGATACATTGGTTGATGCATGCCAGTGTGGTGTTTGCACTGCTGGCCACTGCATTGCACTGCCAGCTCATCATCATGTGATGGTCAGTCACTACCCGTAGGTCCCTTTTGGCTGTGGTGCAAGTCAAATTGTCACCACCGAGCCTGTAAGTATGTTGGGGATTTGTCCCCAGATGGAGCACCTTTCACTTGAGTGTTGAACTTCATCTGGTTCTGGTTCACCCAACTCCAGCCTGTCTAGGTCTGCCTGCATCTGCAACCTATCTTCTGGCATGACCACAGTCCCCCATAACTTGGTGTTGTCTGCATCCTGACCAGTGGGCTTTTCACCCTCACATACAAATCACTGATAAGGATGTTGAAAAGCACTGGTCCAAGCACAGACCCCTGAGGGACACCACTAGCCACTTCTTGCCAGGATGACACTGATCCGTTCATGAGAACTCTCTGGGACCTACCATGCAGCCAATTTTCCACCCGGTGTACTGTTGAGCAGTTAAGCCCACAATCTTCCAGTTTTTCCACAAGGATATTGTGGGATACTAGATCAAAAGCCTTTTGAAGTCTAGGTATATAATGTTGACCTTCTCTCCCATGTCCAGGCGGTGACAGACCTGTTCATAGAAGGAGATGAGATTAGTAAGATAAGACCTACCCATGATGAAGCCATGCTGGCTGTCATTCGGAATCTTACCCTCAACGAGTGTATTGCACATAGATTCTTTTAAGGAGTTTTTCTAGAATTTTACCTGGGATGGAGGTTAGGCTGATTGGCCTATACTTGCCTGGATCCTCCATCTTCAAGGAGTGGAAGAGGGGCACAATGTTGCCCCTCTTCCAATCCTCAGGGATCTCCCCTGTGTGCCACAATTTCTGAAAAAGTCTTGCCAGGAGTTCTGTGATGACCTCAACCAGCTCCATCAGCACTCTTGGATGAAGCCCATCCAGTCCTGCTGACTTACATCTAGCTTTTCTAGTTGGTTTTGCACCATCTTAGCATTCACAGTGGGGAAAGCTATTATTCCCGCCATGCCCTGTGTGATTCTTATCTTGCTTGTCTTTCCCCTTGGTCTGGTGAAATACCGAAGCAAAATGGACATTCAGGAGTTCAGTTATTTTTGTCCTGAGTGTCTGTTACCAGCGGTCCTGAAGTGTTAAGCAGGGGCCCCATGCTTCCATTTGTTTTCTGTCTGTTGCCTATGTACCTAAAGAAGAACTTCTTATTGTCCTTGGCTAACTTAAACTCAGTTGTCACCTTAGCTTTCCTAATCACTTCCCTACAAGTGTGGACCATGGTTGTATCGTCCTCCTTGAGGACTGTCCCTAGCTTCCACTGTGCATATGCCTCTCCTCTTTTTCAATGGGACCGTGATGTCCCTATTGAGCAAGGAAGGCTTGCTAGCCCTTCTGCTACCTTTCCTCTTCATGGGAACAGCTTTCTTTTATGCTTTGAGGATCATGTCCTTAAGGAATGACCACTCTTCATGCACTGCATTTGCCTTCTGTCCCTGGTCCCATATCACCTCCCCTACTAATGCCCTGAGCTTGTTGAAGTCAGCATTTTTGCAGTCCAGGACTTCAATCCTGCTAGTTGGTTTGTCAACCTTGCAGTGGACAGTGAACCTGATGAGCTTATGGTCATTGTTGCCCAGGCTACCCTCAATGTTCAAGCCACACACCGGATCATCTCCTTTGGCCAAGACCAAGTCTAGAAGAGTGGTACCTCTGGCTGGCCCTTGCACTTCCTGGGTCAGGAAGAGCTCGTTGTTGTTGTTGTTGTTGTTGTTGTTGTTGTTGTTGTTGTTGTTGTTGTTGTTGTTGTTGTTGTTGTTGTTGTTGTTGTTGTTGTTGTTGTTGTTGTTGTTGTTGTTGTTGTTGTTGTTGTTGTTGTTGTTGTTGTTGTTGTTGTTGTTGTTGTTGTTGTTGTTGTTGTTGTTGTTGTTGTTGTTGTTGTTGTTGTTGTTGTTGTTGTTGTTGTTGTTGTTGTTGTTGTTGTTGTTGTTGTTGTTGTTGTTGTTGTTGTTGTTGTTGTTGTTGTTGTTGTTGTTGTTGTTGTTGTTGTTGTTGTTGTTGTTGTTGTTGTTGTTGTTGTTGTTGTTGTTGTTGTTGTTGTTGTTGTTGTTGTTGTTGTTGTTGTTGTTGTTGTTGTTGTTGTTGTTGTTGTTGTTGTTGTTGTTGTTGTTGTTGTTGTTGTTGTTGTTGTTGTTGTTGTTGTTGTTGTTGTTGTTGTTGTTGTTGTTGTTGTTGTTGTTTTATATATAACAACAACAACATCTATATCTATAGTTAAGAAGCTACATGACCGATCTGACCTAGCCAAGTGTTCCTCCCAATCTATGTCCATGTAACTGAAGTCACCCATGACAACCAAGTCCCTTGCACACATGGCCTCTGTCAGTTCTTGAGAGAACTCCAGATACAGCTCCTCTCCTTGGTTTTGTGGCCTGTAGTAAGTGCCCACAGTTAAGTCTTTCTCGCCTTGCTGTCCCCCATAACCCCCGGGCCAGGCTTGACTTGGAGGGTTTCAAGCTGCTTATCTTTGGAGCCAATGTCAGCCTCCAGAGAGGTGTACTGGTCTCACACAGAACTAACTCTCCACCTTTTTCTCTCTGCTTGGTCCCTTCTGTGCAGGGGGTAGCCCCCTATGGCTATGCTTCAATCATGCAAGGAGTCCCACCAAGTCTCCATGATCCCTACCAGGTCATATTGTCCACTAGAGAGCAGAAGGGCTAGCTCCTCCTGCTTGTTCCCTGTACTCCTGGCATTGGTGTACGGGCAGCTGAGGCCCCCAACTGACACCCTCGGTTTCCTGTTCTAGGGTCGGAAGGGACCTGGGCAGATCATCTAGTCTGACCCCCTGCCATGGCAGGAAAGAGTACTGGGGGCAAACGACCCCAGCAAGATGGTCATCTAACCTCCTCTTAAAAACCCCCGGTGTGGGAGCTGGCACCCCCTCACTGGGAAGCTGGTTCCAGACCCTAGCCGCCCTGACCGTGAAGTAGCGCCTCCTGATGTCCAACTTAAACCTTCCCTCCGCCAGCTTGTGACTGTGTTATTCCTGGTCACTCCTGGCGGCGCTCGGGGGAACAGGGACTCCTCCAGTGCCTGTTGATCCCCCCTGACTAGTTTATAGCAGGCCACAAGATCCCCCCTTAGCCTTCTCTTCTGGAGGCTGAACAGGTTCAGGTCCCGTAACCTTTCCTCATAGGACCTGCCCTGCTGTCCCTTGATCATGCGAGTGGCCCTCCTCTGGACCCTCTCGATGCTGTCCACATGTTGTGGGAGAACCTTTCTGTTAGCATTTTCAAAAACAGTCATCTTGGTGTCTTCCACATGGGAGCTTTCCTATGTGCCAGTCCCCAGACATGCTGTACTTGAAGTTTCCTCATCCCCTAGCAAAGTCAGTTTAAAGCCCTCTCTAGTAGATCAGCCATCCTGGCTGAGAACAGGGACTTACCTCTCCATGTGAGGTACAGATTGATTCCAGTGCCTGGAGTGGGTGCCCTTTTACTACCCCTAGTTCAGCTACTGATGAACTCATGCTCTTATGTCTGATGACAGATCAGCACATCTGTTCCACATTACATGTTCCTAGGAACATGATTCTGCCTGAAACTGCTGAGGGCACTCACTATTAAGGTTTTGTTTAGATGAAATTGGGATACAAGTGTTTGTGTCTCTTTTGTTTTTGTTTTTTTTTTTGTACTGGAGGTGTAATTGAAACAGTTACAAGGAGCACTGAGATATTATTTTCTACCTTGACACTGCATTTCCCTCATCACCTGTTTTGAGTGCCAAAACCATAACCATCAAGACAGTTTGTATTTTGGTGGATTTTCTTAAGAAGAATGGCAGATGTTCCTCTTCCTCCAATTCCTAGAAGGTTCTGCTAAACTGGTTCATGACTGCCAACCTTCTGAAAGCTAAAAGGCTATGGTATTTTGGTAAATGTTTTTGACCAGATAACTCTTAAGTATAGCAAGAACAACTCTCCATATTTGGTGAGAATTGTATAACAAGTCAGCTGAAAACAATGTTCATGAAGAACTACATGTTTCTTAACAGATTCCATAGCCTCTCATGAACTCCTGGAAACTGCAAACAGTTTTGGCATCTGCAGATATGAGCAGATCTAGGATTTTGAAAAGGTAAGTGCAGATGGTGTGCACATCTTCTCATACCACACTGTTTCTCAAGTTAAAAAGAAACTAGAAGCTTTGTGAACATGCTGGGGGAAGGGGCTAGCATTATATTAATTAGATCAAAGCAAAACTAAATACAACTACTGGAATGTGCACCAATTTGCTACATTATATATAAAGGCTGAAAAAGCACAACAAACTAGGCAAAAAGAAGAACAAAAATATAGTTTTGTTAGTGTTCATAATAGTAAAATGTACACCTCATTCAGATTCATAAAATGAAATTGAGTCTTGAGCATCTTGACAGTGCCTCCAGTACTTTTACTATTGGTCATTTCTACACTTGAGTGACTATTACTTTACCCACGTTAAGGTTTTTGGCTCCAACTGAAAACATTCTGCATGGCTGTGAAATAGAAGAGAGAAGTTACCAGGAATTGGTAACAAAACAAAATTGGAGAAGAAAGGATGGCTTGGTTTTTTGTTGTTGTTGTTTGTTTGGGTTTTTTTTTTTTTTTTAATGGGACATCAAGGCCATTTAAAAAGGAGAGAGGGCTGTTAACACCTGTGGAGTGGAGAATACATTAGCAGG